AACCGATGGGCCTAACCTATCTATAGACTCTCTAGACCTAGACCGGACTGACTGACCGACCGGTACCGTTGCTGTTTCGGCCTCTCGGCCTCTACCGGACCCGGCTATAGGCTATAGGTCCGTCTAGCAGCATAGGCCGCTTAGGGCCTGTCTGTCCTAGGGGTAGCCCGGGCCTGCTATCAGCAGTTAGGGTAGCTGTAGGAATTCGGGTTAATACTGGCCTGTATTTTCCCAGATTTGCAGATCTGTCCCTCATGAATTTCCTTACAGGCAGGTCTCTTGGTTAGCCCTCTGCCAAACAAAATTACGAATCTAACCCTACTGGTTAGTGTACAGCCTCGCAGACAGTCTTCGCAGTAGAAATCAGCAAGTCATTGCAGGCTTACCCTCCCCGGGAGCGAGGACCTCCGAGCTAGGGGTGTTGGCGAGGTGAGCGGCGAGGAAGGTTGCCCTTCTGAGCCGCTTCAGATCGCAATACAACTGACATTGCTGTCTTGAGCAGGTCTCTTCTATAGAACCATCGGTTCTCAGAAGGGGGCTGAAAAGCGAACCTGACAAGATACTGTCAACCGGGGCCTGTGCCCCACTCGTCCTCAATCCACTCCAAGTCATATCCCTTGTCAGGGATTGGTGGACCGAATTGAGGGGCCCGGTCGGGGAATGCATCAGCTGGCGTGAAAGGCAGCAGCTTGGATGCATGGAAGACCGGGTAGGTGCGTAGATGCAGCGGGACGTCGATGACATACGATGGACCAAAGGGATCAGCGCCCACTGTATCTAGGACCTGCCATGGACCCAGGTAACGTGGCAACAACTTGGGAGAGATATCTTCCTCCCTCGACAGCTCAAAGCTGGCCACCCAGACATGGTCACCAGTGCGGATGGGGGAGGGCCGCCTGTGGCGATTAGCTTGTTCAATCATAGCCTTTTGGGCTTTGAACAAGTTCGCGCGGGCTCTTTCCACATCGACACGATAGCGTCTGGTGAACTCTGCGGTGCCTGGTGTCAGATCAGGCTTAGCCTTATCGATGATATCATCGAGAGGCTGTCGTGGTTCATGTCCCTAGTGTAACCGGTAGGGGCTGAACCCTGTCGAGGAGTGGACAAACATGTTATACATGAGCTGTGCCCTCGCTAAGTGAAGATCCCAGTCCTGGTGATCTGGAGAAATGACAGGACGCAGCAGCTGGAATAAGACTTGGTTCATCACTTTAGCCAAACCATTGGCTTCAGGATGGTGATCAGAAGTCATGTCCAGTCGTGAGTGCACATAGTCCTTGTAGTAGGACTGCCACTCATCGCTGCAAAACTTGGGTTCTTGATCACTAACAATAGAAGTGGGCGGTTCATGGTGTGTGACCCACCTCTCAGAGAAGGCTGCTCTCACAGCCGGTACCCTAGCTACCTCTGGCAAGGGGATGAACTCTGCGTATTTGGAGAACCTGTCCACGCACACCCTAACCGGACGCATGCCCCGAGGGGTGGTCTTGCCTAAATCTGTGAAGTCTGTCGACACAGATTGGGCAGGGCCATCAGGTATGCGTAAGGGTTTGAGCAGTCCCAAAGGAGGTTTACGCTGAACCTTGTTCCTTTGGCAGAGCTCACAGGTATCCACATAACGCAGCATCTCACTCCGCATCTCCTTCCAGAAGAAGCGCTGCGACAGGGCTGCATAAGACTTTAGGAACCCAAAATGTCCACGGGCATCATGACACTCTGACATCAGCAGTGTCTTGAGTCGCTGGTCTTGAGAAATGCACAAGCGCTCCTCACCTCTGCTGTAAGTATACAGCAGGTCTGAACTCAGAGCATAGCCTGGTTCAGAGTTAGGATCTGCTTGCAGATTCCTGACTATGGGTCCAAAAGTCTCGTCCTGAGGTAACAGACGAGCAATGGTCTGACGGGTCTCCTCTCCAAAGGAGTGAGTAGAGGAGATCAGAGCAAAAGAGTCAGGCATACGAGGGAGGGCATCTGCCACCTTGTTGTAGCAGCCCTTCTTATGTTTCAATTCAAAGTCGAACATGTCGATGAACTGAATGTACCGTGCCAGCTTATCGTTCAACTCTCCCTGGGACTTCATCCACTGCAGGGTGGAGTGATCTGAAAAGATCTTGAAGTGTCTGCCCAAGAGAAAGTGCTTCCAATGTTTCAGGGCACAGACAAGAGCATAAAACTCTTTCTTGTAGGTAGAGTCCTGGAGCTTTTGAGTCTTGATCTTCTTACTCATAAACTCTACAGGCCGTAGACCATTCCCATCATCCTGCTGAAGAACTGCCCCAATGCCATACTAACTGGCGTCAGTAGTCAGGATAAATGGCAGAGTGGGGTCAGGTAACTTCAGTACAGGCGCACGAGTCAAGGCCTTCTTGAGTCGTGTGAATGCCAGCTGACAGTGGAGGGACCAAAGAAAGGGAGTGTCTTTCTTTGTTAGGCTAGTCAGGGGTGCAGCCACTGCAGAAAAGTTCCTGACAAACTTTCTGTAGTAGGAGGCCAAACCCATAAAGGACCGGACATCCCTCACTGTCTGAGGCTGAGGCCACTCCTGAATAGCAGCAATCTTGGCTGCTTCAGGAGCCAAGCCATCTCCAGAGATTACATGACCCAGATAGATGACAGAGGGAACTCCAAAAGAGGACTTCTCCCTGTTGATCTTGTACTGGCTGTCATGTAACGATTGAAGGACAAGAGCCAAGTGCTCCGCATGTTCCCTGGCAGTTTTGCTGAATACCAGGATATCATCCACGTAGACAACCATAAACTTGTCCAGGTAAGGCCTGAAGATGCGGTGCATCTCTGTCTGGAATGTGCCTGGGGCATTGCAAAGTCCGAATGGCATGACCAGAAACTCGTAGGTCCCATACCTGGTCTTGAAGGCTGTATTGTAGACATCCTCCTCTGCCATCTCAATCTGGTGGTAGCCAGATTTAAGGTCGACTTCGCTGAACACTGTGCAGCCCTGCACCATATCCAGGAGGTTATCGATCCTAGGAAGTGGCTCAGTACTCTTCCAAGTGATCTTGTTGAGACCCCTGTAGTCAATGCACATCATGAACTCGCCGTTCCCTTTGGGTACAAAGAGAACAGGTGCACCGAATTCAAATGTGCTAGGTCTGATCCAGGTTTTGTTGGTCAGGGTCTCAAGCTGCTTTTTAAGCTCCTCAAGCTCAGCAGGGGACATCCTGTAGATGCGGTCCTTGGGAGGAACCACTCCAGGCAGCAGCTCGATGTGATGCTTGGTTGGCCGGTTGGGAAGTCCAAAGGACTCCTGCATCAGATCAGCATACTGATCTACCACCTGCTGTATCTCAGGAGGACAGGAAATAGGGGGAGCATTTGTTTGCTTGACCCAAGCAATAAACAAACGCTCATGGTGATACTCGTGAGAGAGAGCATGGAACTCCCTCGCTCTCAGGCAGTAGCAGGAGGTCTTAGGGTGGTGATCAGCAGCAATTATGCATTGCTGATACACCCCCTGGTTGTCTGGTAATTCAACTTTAGGGATCTGCCAGTCGATCCTAGGGTTGACTGCCCTCAAACACTGCATAGAGAACACCAAGTCAAAGGGAAGCTCAAGGAAGATGTAAAAGTTCAGACTGTGTCTGACTTTTCCTGCAGTATCGAAGGTCACATGGATGCCCTTGACCTTCTCCCTGATGCTGAGTACTGTAGAGTCACCAATTCGCACCAGCAGCGGTTGCTGCAGCTGCTGAACTTCCATGCCCTGGTGCAGCTTTTTAACTGCACTGGGGGACATGAAGTTCCTGGTGGCTCCACAGTCCAACAGCCAGTGATCCTGGTGATGTTGATCAGTGGTCGGAGCATGATGAGTTCAGACTTGCTCTTCTTCTGTTCTTTCAGATGAAAGAAGAAGGCTGCACTAGACTGAAGCTCATCCTGCCCCGGGTCAGGATCCTCATAACAAAAGGATGCTGCTCGCGCAGTCCCCAAACACACATCATCATCATTAGTCTCAACTGAAACAGCTGCAGATTCACCTACCCGAGTAGATGAAGATGCAGCACTGGAGGGAACTGCAGTCCCCAGGGTCTGTTTCAGTTTTTTGACTGACTACCTGGGCCTGGCATGTAAGGGCAGTCCTTCAAGAAGTGCTGGCCCTCACACCTCAGGCAAACCCCTCTCTCCTTTCTCCTTCTCCAGACTCCCTCCTGGATTTTGAGGTCATGTCAGGGGAGTGTGGAGGGATTGATAGGTTCAACTGGCATGTGGACGTCTCGAGGCAGATTAGGGCGCTGGGAAGAGGAAGGTCGACGTCCCTTATCCTTCCCCTTAGTAGTGGCTGAGGCTGTGGAGGGGGAGTACTTTTTCTGCGCTTGCAGAGCTCCCAACACAGCCTGAGTCACCACTACTGCAACATCTGTCTCAGCAGCAGATCCGGTCTCACCTGAAGGCACATCAGGCTGGGAATCAGTATCTGATCCTGAGGCAGACCCCGCGTGAGTGAAGGCTGCCTTTCCCCTTCCGTTGCCTCTAGGGAAGGCACCTTTCCTCCTGTCAGAGGATGGGGCCTGGACATGGAGCTTAGCCTCCATTTCCTGGGTTGCACGACCAAAGGACCTCCAGTCCTTGTACCCAGCGTTGTAGAGTGCAACATCGAACTTCTCAGGTGCTGCCCTGCAAAAGCTGGTCAACATATCATCAGGTGCCATGACCAACCTAGGGGTGGAGGTGAGCTGCTCGAATTCAGCAAACAAGGCCTGCAGGGTACAACTGTATCGCTGCTGTCCCAGGCGAGCAATCCTGTCACCAGCCTTGCGGGCCCGCTCCTTGTCTGCAAATCGGTCCTCCAGGGCGTGCAGAAGTCTATCTACCCCCAACCCAAAGGCCCAGTCCTCCATGGACTGCTGCAGACTGCTAGAAGTTGAGGTGGCCCACTTCAGTGCAGGCCTCTCCAGCAGCCCCAAAACGGTTGCCACCTTGGTCTGTTCTGCACAGACAAAGCCCCTCAAGTAGGCTCTGGTCCCAGCAACCCAGTCCCCAACATCAGTCTTGGGGTCATCGCCCCTGAACTTGTTGGGAGCAGGGATCTTGGGACCTCTGTCTACTGCAGTCACAGTAGCATAGGTGGCCTTTACTGAGGCCTTTTGGGAAGGGGTAGATGACCGGGAGGAATGTGCAGATCCAGCATGGGATGGAGGAGGGGAAGGAGGTTGTGAAGGAGGAGGAGAGGGTCTGGGTTGCAATAGAGGGAGCTGAGGAGTAATCAGCTTGGCGGCTGCCAGCTGAGCAGACAAGCCCTGGATAGCATCCAGGATCTTGGACTTCTGAGCTGACAGCTCGTCAACCCGACGCTCCAACCGCACAAAACGGTCATCCCAGTTTGTGAACTAGGAGCTGGTGATCTTGTGCTCCAGCAGGATCATCTCAGTCATATGCTTGGTGATCTGGGCACAACGGTCATCAGTGAGTGACCTCTCTAGCTGCTGCAACAGACACTCCCTTCTGGAGTGATCTGTTGCAGCCTCTAGCTCAGCAGCCTCCTGCCGTGCCAATTCAGTTACTCTGGCCTGTTGCAGCTTGAGCTGTTCTTCTGCCTCCTTCTTCAGCCTCTGAGTAGCAGTCAGAGGTGGAGGGGGGGCAATGGAGGTAGAAGGTTGTTCACCTTCTGCCTTCACCACCACCTCTACCTATGGCTGCTGCTCATTTCCCTGATCCAACATTTTCCCAGTTCAAATAAAAACCAAAAATAAAATAACAGCAGACAGAGTTGCAGCGATATTCAGATTCCTGGAATTGCTGCAGCAACTCAACACTGGAGTAGGTGGGTGTACAGGCAATCAACGGTTTGGGTTGGAAGGGTGTCTCTGGGGTCAGGTGTCGGACAGGCTGTAAGTCCTGCAAAATCAGTCACACGATTTCCTTTTACTGACCCTGGACCACACTGGAGTTAGCATAGTCACTCCACTACTTTTCCAGAGACCCACTAGAATTTCCAGTGCCCACTAGAAAACAAGAGTAATCAGTGAGAATGAGAGAAAGTGGTTAGTACAGACAATAGAGATCAATCACAACACGCGATGCAGACAGATACCCAGTATCCTGACTCAAACTCACTTTCAGACCCTGATGACTCTGGCGGTCATACCCTAGGGTATGGCAAATTCCAGTTTTAACTGTATCCAGTGAAATACTCAAAATCCAAATCTGCGATTTAACAATACTGACTGTTTTCAATTTGCGATTCACTCGGGACTGACAGAACTGAATTCTGACGGACAGAATTAGAGTTATGTCTGACCCTAGATAGCTAAGGCTAAAAATAGACTCAGCGCAAAACTATAATTCACAGTATCACTACCTTTCAGTACAAAATTCCCTGTTTAAGCATCCCTGGATAATCGCAATACAGTATAGCAGTCACAGAACCAATTTGGACCAGAAAGAGTCAACAGAGGATGAGATATGAGCAGAGAGAGGTAGGGGAGAGATGGCTATGGCTGTCATGCAGTCTGCGATTTTCTCATCCAGTCACTGGCAGACAGATAGACCATTATCTTGCACTAAATTACTACTATCTGGATCCCCATACAGGTAGGTGCATGGAACAGACTCACTTGCAGAGAATCTTGCAGGTGATGATGAAGGTCTGGCTATGGCTGATGATACCCTTATCTCGCCAATTTCCTCCAGAGCTTCTTCCTGATAATCCCACGCACATAACTGCTTCAAAATCGTTGATCCTCCTCAGAATCCTGTAGCGCTGCACTCCCTTACTCCAGATACCCTGTATCTAGTCCTATAGCACCCAACTTCCCAACACCACAATATCTCGCCATAGTGTCAGGTAGCCGCTAATGCTAAAAATAGCCCCAGATATACTGGATCAATCTCTATCAGCGCCACCCAGCGATAGTGCCGCTCAGGGTTCCATATATGTCCTCAGGGGTAATTCGCCACTCTGGGGTAACTCACTGTATTTCCCCCCCAGGGTTGGCTATGGCGAATTAGCCCTGTACTTGCCACTCCTTGCCAAGCGCCCTGACAGGCTCAGTGCGCTTGTTCAGTGCAGCCACTGAACACTTGAATTCACCGCTGAAAGTTTTCTTCCCTGCTGACTCAGTACTAGGGAAGATGAATCGCCATGAAACTCTCTCCTGTATATCGCCAGGATGAAGAAGATGCCTCAGTGCGCTCAACCCTCAGTGCTCCAATTCCAATCTCGCTCCGATACCAACTGTTATGAGCTTGGTTGTCTAACGAAGTTTCTCGCCACTCACACACAGATAATTTCACACATGCCCATACAGGCATAAGGGAAGGGGAGACAGGAGACAGCGTCCAAACTGCACACAGGTGAAGATAAGGATCGAGAGACAATCATGCACAGCTGGGGAGAAGACACCCAGTGTTTCTCACTCTCTGACACTACTCCCAACAACCAATCACAAGAAAGAACCCGCGAAGATCACAATTGAAAATGTCACTAATGATGAGCCACTCACACAATTATCGTAACATAGTTTGTTCCAGTATCTCGCCACACTCAGAACTCACACCCCACTCTCTATTCTACACCTAGTTAGTAGCGCTGCATCAGAACAGCCTCCCAGAGGCCAGCGCCAACCACCCTGATGAAGAACAGGTCCTGCGATGAAGTCTTCAGTGCCGATGGACAACTCTGACGAAGGAACAGGCAGCTATGGCTGCCACCACCCACGAACCACCACTGTAGAGCCTCGATACAGCCCGGCCATACGCAGATACCCCCAGGGGTAGATGCGCTGAGGATGCCCCAGCTATGGCAAACTCAGAGAGGGCCGGCTATGGCTGCTGTCACGGTGTGTCTCAGGATGCCGCCTGTAGACAGGTAACGCCACCCACTTGCTTGGCTTCTCCAACGCTGCTCGCGAGAAAATGAACTGCCAAAAGTCCTGAACCGATGGGCCTAACCTATCTATAGACTCTCTAGACCTAGACCGGACTGACTGACCGACCGGTACCGTTGCTGTTTCGGCCTCTCGGCCTCTAC